CAATCATTCTAAGGGTATATAATCCTAATTGTGTATAACTTTAAAACATACACCTAGCAATTAACATTATCAATCTACACTTCAAGTAGCACATAATAAACAATTCTCTAGGTTATAAGGCGTTATAGATGTCAAGCAATTCTATCATGCAATTCCTGAGTAGATCTACAACCTACATTCTAGCATGCATAACAATTCATAACACATATACAAGATCATATGGGTATATTGGGAATTACTTACTTCCTGAGCTCCGACCGACTGTATGCATCACATCCTCTAATTTTTATAAAAAACCTTTTTAGAAATTCATTTTCTTGAATAAAAGCATTCTATTTCAAAAACCTAGTTAGAAGTCCTCTTAGTCCTCAGTTTGAGTTCAAACATACCATAAGGCGTGCCCGAATCCCTTAAACCAAGGCTCTGATACCAACTTGTAACGTCCTAGAAATTTCAAAGAGATTTTCATTTTTAAAATAGATTAACCAATTAAACCTTGTTTCCAAAATCCAATGTATGACATTTGATTGTTAGAAAACCATACATTACCATAGTTAAGTTTACAAAACCGCGGAAACGAATATCCTTGATGCGAGTGTACAGTCCCGCCGAGCTCTACTCACAAACGACCTGCAAAAATGTTTAATCAACAATTGAAGGCATAAAGCTTAGTGAGTTCCCCATTATACAACATATTCCACCATACATACAGTTCATCCATATATAATCCTCGAATCTAGCGTTGGGAAACCAAAACTCCTGTCCACATACATATAAACATACATATCAGGCCCAACCCACAAGTTCACGGGCCCAACCCAACTCAATTAATGGGCCCTATCCAAACATACATAACGGGCCCCGCCCAACCATACATAACGGTACCCACCCAACCATACGTTATGGGCCCCGCCCAACCATACATAACGGGCCATGCCCAAGGAGTAAATGGGCCCAGACCAAACTCCATTACCAAGGGCTACATCCGGGTCTTCTATACTATTGACAGTGGCCAAATATTGGTCTTCCATACAATGCCAAATACATACATAGTCAGAATCAGATAGTTATTCGAACATATGATCCACCAAAAAGTAATAAATCGGGCAAGAACCATACAGTCGGGCATTAGACTAAGAGTTCTCAGGGCTATCCAACTAGATTGAATACAATCCCTTACTGTAAACATCCAACAACAGAAAATATTATCATTACCCTAACTAATCATGACAACTAGTAGTATCATACGATCAACAGACAAGACCCTACCAGTCTAGCATACCAAGATACCAAGTGTCGTATACTGCACAAGTATAACAGGGATCCAACCTAGTCAACTAGCATACTTGTACTCTAACAGTACCACTAGCCTACCATGCATATAATATATAATGGGATACGTGGCATAGTGAGAAACTCACCTGAAATGAAGAACCGAAGAAGAACAACAACACTCTCACGCCTTGCATTGCTCAAACCCGCGAACAGACTAACGCCAAAAGAGATAGATCCTCAATTAATAACCCAAATCCTCCAAGGTCAAATTGGTCAAAAGTCAATGGTCACCCAAAGTCAATGGTCAACCAGGCAAAACATCCACCACGATGAGGAGACCTCTTGGCCACGTCCTGGGCATGTCCAAACAAAACTGTCATGAAAGCGTGACTCCACCACATCGTGGTCATTATTTTGCCATATCATGGCTATTGCTAGAAGTCATTTTTCTCTCATTAAGGACTTAATCTAGTAAGTCCTTTGCTCTAACTTTCCAGAGGGCTTTATTGCCCTCAAATGAACCATAAAAAATCCCTACTTTATGGACATGCATGTCACTCCCAAAACTAGGTCAAAAGGGTAAGGAATGGAGTTAAAATTCCATGCATTGCACCAAACATCATGAAATTCTAGTTCTGAAGCATATGATAACCTAGGGACCTCAAAGAGTGATAAACTTGCAAAAGAGTGATAACCTTGAGTTTGATTGCAGGGCGCGCATTAGCGCTTTACTAATAAGATAGAAGGGGCTTTTCTTGTTTAGTAAAGTCTCGCTTTTTTATAGGAGTAGGTGCGGCAGGGCACTCTTCATTCGAAACTAATGAATGTCAGGTCGGGGCTTTCTGCCTTGTTATCAAAAAGGGGGTTTGGGTAAAGCAAACTCCCTCCTTGGACGAGCACGGGCTAAGTCAAGTAGAACAAGTACGGCCGACATCTATTTATTGAAACGAGAATGTCGTGTCGTCCAGCGGAGCCTAGAAGAAGATGACTCGCGTAGACAGCTGACTCCTTTTCAATAGAAAAGAATAGCCAAACCAACCCAGCTGGCTAGTCAATCTCAGAAAGAAGATAGGCCGGCAAACCGGAGACGTACGACCACGGTCCCGACCTTACCAGCACCGGGGGTGTACTAATCAATGAACCCCTGAAACCTACTTTCTTTTCTGACAAAATCAACCAAGCCTAACCGGTCACGACATGTTGTTGACATTGATTGAGTTGGAGGGACTTTCGATTACGGAATCCATCCATAAACCTAGACCCCGATAACCTTCGTAACCAAAGCGTCACGACAACATCCAAAGGTCACCCTTGGATTCTTAGGGGGGCAAGGAAGAGGTTTGTTATGTTAGTTGTAGCGCGCCTTCCCTCTTTATAACACTTCGGAAAGATTTTGCAGTCTTTTCTTATGATGACCTGGTCGAGAGAGTACGATACATCGGTGTAAAAGATTGATCCCTTTGGATCTTGGTCCATGATGGCCTTTTGATTAATAGAACTGGAAGATGAGGAAAAGAAAGAGCTTATGATGACCATCTATTTGAGTCGATCATTTCGTAGATCTAATTCAAGTGTTTTTTTTGCAGTGGAAAGGCCTTCAAATCTGAAGTTTGACGCTTAAAGGAAGAAAAGAATTAGCTTTGGTTCAGAGCTTGAATCAGAATATCGTCACCCCAGGTGAGGAGTTCGGCTAAGCAGCTAGTTGCCTTCTTAGCCTTCCTAGACCGCTAGTTGACTTCTTAGCCTTAAGGGCTTGAAGAAGATAAGGGCATGGAGATTGACCCATCTCTTAGCCTGAGCTTGCTGGCTAGCTCTATTGGGTTGGTGTCGGGTTAGCCCTTAGTTTCCTTCCTCTCCTTCTCTTTCAGGGCTCGCTTCTCTCATCTCTAGTTTTTCGTCTACTTCTTTCATCTCCGCAATAATATACATATTCTTTCTAATAAGAGAAAGTATAGATCTTGAATAAGTTGGCTACGATTAGTCACTTCGGAAGCCGTTAACCAACGCACCGGCTTTTGACTGTCCTTCTAAGGTAAGGAGGCTCAACAAAGGTCTAAGCTACTAGAATGAACGGCACATTTCGGCTTGCTTTAGTCGCTTGCCTAAGAGTGGTGAAAGTGTTATGCCTAGATCGACTAAAAGGGCTTACCAGCTACCTTCCCCTTGTAAAGTCTTGAGCTTGAGATTGAATTCTTCCTAACATACGGCTGTCTTTCATAAGAACAGGAAAGTCTTTACAGGAAGTGATCGAATCAGTACGCCTTGCCATAATGAATGTCTGTTGGAGATAGAGGTATGGCGAAGAGCTTTAGAACTTTTCTTATTGGATTGAGAGTGCCCGTTATCTGCCATAGCCGCATGAAGAATTCTGAGAGGAGGTCTTTTCCAATACCAAGCCCTAAAGAGAAGGGATTGATAGATCGCTTCTCACCAGTAGCTAGCCTGTCTACTGTCCCATAGAAGGGGAATCAAGCCCGATTCTATCTTGCTTTCACCTCCGCTGTGAAGGCTCTTATCTCAGAAGGCATACAAAAAGCTCTTCCACGCCTAGCATCGTACTTTCCACTACTCGTGTAAGTCCTCCTTCAGAACAGGTAGGTGAGTCACTCTCCGCTAACCTGGTAGGTGGGACTTGCTCTACTTTGACTTCTTTATTTCATAACACTAGCCAACCAGCGTACCTGGAAGGAGCTGACACTCGTCGAGAGGATAAAGGGTTTTTGATCTTGTCAGATGCTTACAGGATATAGAATCACGTTTCCGGATGAGTTAAGTTCTTGTTCATTTCTCTTTCTAAAAGGGAGTCTCAATGAGACCTAAGAAAGGTAATGAGTCTGAATGCCTTCAGTATATTGTTGCTGGCAACCTTTCACTTAGAAGCAATAATAGGAAGTCCTAGGCAGTCTTATCTTATCTTATGGGCAATGCCCCCTTTGCCGTAAAGAGTAGCCATATCCAGTGCGATCTCCTCATACTCAGGCGTCGCCTCTAATCCCATTTCAAAACTCTACAACCGCTCCGGTCACACTGCACCTTAGAGCTTTAACGGGCCTTTAGGCTAAGGATAGATTGCCTGATAGACGAATTCGTCGACCTCCAATGCTCTAATAAGCTATCTTTCTCCCTGGGCTTCTCCGCTAACAACCAGTCCTGCAACCCGACCGGTTGGACAAGAAGAGCTTCCCTTCCTAGTCCTTGATCCTAGTTACTAGCCTTCAAGGCCGACTGCAATTCAAGGTGGTACGAGCTAGTGCGAACTAACTACTTGAATCCACACCTCAATTGTATTCCTTTCCTGACCTTCAATCAAAGGATTCCACCTGGCACCGACAAATCCCATTCTAGCGGGGAAGAACCACCATCCGGAGAAGCTGCATCTTCAATGGGTAGATCCCCTCCAAGCTTGACTCATAGGATGGGGAAAACCAAGCAACGACCAGCTCATTCACCTGAATTTGGTTGGGGCACAGCGGGTATTGAACATCTAAGTGCGAGCCTACCTCCGCTAGTGATCCCTCTTTCCCTGGAACCAATGGTTACGAATCTGCATCGAACTAACGAAAGAACCCCTGACGGAACTGAATTAGACTAAAGTGCGGAACAACCATGCGGAACCATTTCATCTCATTCCTCTTCACCATAAATAGCTCCATCCAAGCCTACGGCAGCTTATTTCCGATCTCTCCCAACCCCGAAGTCAGACCAGTCTGAGCCGAACCGAGACAATGAACGGCGAATCTCAACCTTTTTTGTTTCATCCTCTCTGGGCATCTAGACGGAGAAAGAAGGGACGAGTGTATCCGGGCCATGATCCGATCCATATTTTATCTGTATATTCCGGCAGAGCATATCGATATCGGGATCCCTCCAAGCCGGCTCTGGGACAGCATCAAAAGTCCTTCGTTCCTCCTTGCAATGAGCAGGGACCAGGGAAGATGTATGAGGCTGGTAAGGTAAGTACATCGATTCATCTCTAGCAGCCAGACTTAGGTCATTAAACCCTTATTCCGGTGTCCTTGGATGAGAATCTTTCTATACTATACGCATGCCTTCTGGCACAACACACACCCACTCAGAAGAGCACACCACCCTAATCCCTAAAGAAGAGAGGGAAAGAGCGGAAAAGCTGGTTTGACGTCAACAGTTCTTCCTTGTTCCGACAAAGAGTGTGTTTCCTTATTCTTTTTTAGCTTTGAGCTTGGTTCAGATTGGACACGTCCTCACTCGTTCTTTTTTTTTCAAGATCTTTGAGCCTCATAAGGATTCTTCTAACTGGTCTGTCCCAGTGCTAATAGACCCACTCCAATCTCGGGAACCTTTCCTGAGCTACTAAAATCTTGGAAATCGACTAGCCTTACTTCTTTCGGGGCTCCATCCCTCTTGACTATATAGGTAGGGGCTTAGCTGCTCCTAGTCAGATAAAAGTTCTCTACTGGGCTCTCGGCTACCCTGAACTACTAAAAACCCAGCCTTTGATGTGCTTGCCCAGCCTCTTCCACTAGAAAGAGCTTCTTCTCTTAAGGCTTCTTGCCAGTAGTGAGAAAAACCTTGCTTATCTATCTTTAGAAAGAGGATAGAGACAAAGATAACTAGATCAATGTCTTCCGTCTTCGTCTGCTAGAACCTTCAAGGAAGATGCAAAAGGCAGTACAGATGATAAGAGCATCTTTGCGTCTTCTCGTCTGGATCTATATAGGGGATCGAATGCATTTGAACTCCTTCTATCTAGCGCTCTCAAGCTGAGGTAACTCGAAGCTTTGAATGGCTCCTGCCTAGCTTCCTTCCAGTGATTAGAGTCTTCTGTTTGCTGTTTTTCATCTTGCTATGAGTGCCTTTACCCTTCTCTAAGAAGCCATAGGACTGTGCTATGAGGGAGGAACCCTTAGGTTTGCGGGGCATTGGATTCAATCCAGCCACAGGTTCTCCCTTTCAAGTAGCATAGACAATTTGTCATTGAAAAGAGTAGAATCTTACGCCAAATGTCGTAGATAAATATACTCAGCCGGGAGAATAACTAGCGCCTGTCTCTAGTGATTATACTAGAGGGATCCTTTTTTCTTATTCTGACTAGGGTAAAGGCACTATCGGACATGGGATTTTTTATATAGAAAATACTCCTCGTGTAAATGGAAGTATGTCACATGGGTGTGGCCTTAAATTCATCCATGAACCACTGCTTCTCCATAGAAAATCCACGAATTTGGCCGAGTTGGCTCTAATTCAATGCCTGTCTCCATCGAGAGTTCCCGGATATGCTGGGAATCCTCTCAAGGATGGAGGTGGTCGTCTAAGAACTGCTGGGTCCAGGGTAATGGCGCCTTCCACACTTAGGTTGATGCTGGCGGAGTGTGTTGGTTTTTTTCTTCTAGTATTTTTTGATGCAGTCAGAACGTCTCATCATATGATATTCAAGGCTAATTGAGTTCTTGCAGCTAGGGCAGCATCCAATGTCTGGCTCGGTCTTCATCGAATGTCAGACTGGTTCAAAGCTGTTCAATGATGGCTGAATCAATGCCATCAGGCTTTCTAGAATGTAAGGGTTCGAAAAGTCAGTTCAAGGGCTCAAATCCTGATATTCTATGCTTGAGGAATGTCTTTGCGGATGATATGCTAGCAGAAAACAAATTGATATGTCAGTATAAAACCTAAGTAAAGAAGATCATTGAAATCCTATTGTTATTGCTTTCACTACAAAAATGAAAAGGATAGAAGCTGGAGACTGGCCTATATTCCTACTAATGTGATCCCCATTACTGAAAATCTGTTCTACACTACGATATATTGCTCTGATGTTTTTACAACTATCTTTTTTGAAGCAGATAGTTCACAGTGCTCATTCTATCGATACTGGGAAAGAAAAAAAAAGAATGTTTACACTCAATTTTCATTACGAAGATGTATCACGTCAGGATCCGTTGCTCAAACCGAATCACGCCAACGTTATGGAAGTTCCTGGATCGTGTAAAATAAGAGTAGTACCAAAGGCAGCACCCTCTGATTTCATAATAAAAAATGGAAAATTGGCTATGGAGATTCCGTGCGGTCAGAAATTAATACAGACACAAAGGGCTTCGACAGGAAAGGAGTTTCGATCCAATCCATTCTTGGGAAAAAATCAAGACAAAAAAGGATATGTCAGTGACCTAGCACGGCAAAGCACTCTCCGAGGGCATGGAATGTCTCATTTTTTGGTAAGAATCTCCGCAGTAATGTCTCTGTTAGATTTTCCGGTCGAAATACGGGAAAAGTCCATTCAATTCTTGATGGAAATGGAGTTTTGCGAATTCTCCCCGGAACTGGAAGATCATTTCGAGATCTTCGAACATATTCGAGGGTTCAATGTCACTATTGTAACTTCGGCCAACACACAAGATGAGACTTTACCACCGTGGAGCGGCTTTTTTCAAAAAGATGAGGGGGAAAGTCAGTAAGATGTCGGAGAAGCAAAATATACGAGATCACAAACGTAGATTGCTCGCGGCTAAGTATGAATTGAGACGAAAGCTTTATAAATTTGTAAAGATACCGATCGATCTAGTGATATGCGGGACAAACATCGTTAGAAGTTGTCCAAGTTGCCAAGAAAGAGTTCCTTTGCACTAGTAAGAAACCGATGTATTTCCACGGGTCGCCCTCGTTCCGTATATCAGTTCTTTTCTTTCGAATTTCTCGTCTCGTTTTTCGTGGATTAGCATCTCGAGGTCCTTTGATGGGCATAAAGAAATCGTCTTGGTAGCATCAAACCAATAGAACAAGGGTTAGCTCTGCAGCTGGTCTACAAGCAAGGTAAGTAGGTCCATGCGACCGGCCCCGGATGTACCCTTTAGCCGCGAGGGGAACCGGGTAAACAAAGTCGCGATCAGAATGAATGGTAGTTCGCTGGGCCTGTCTTTTGCTCCCAGAGGTGCTGGTTCGAATCCAGTTCGCGACAAGTACTCATACTAAAGTGTGCTCCGATAGGTATTTCCACTGTTCGATACCTTTTCGTGATGACTGTTCCCTGCTCCATTATCAGCCAACGGCTCTAACCGCTTCTATTGGCTCAGTTGGATGGAGTACATCTTTGTGCGAGACAGTGTAGGAGTTGAGATCCAGTGCGCTTAAACTCTTCTAAGAAGGAATGATTACCTGGTAAAAGCTTGAAGCTATACCCTTTTCATTCAAGTTGAGCTTCGATCCTAGAGAAGAAAGAGAGAGGGTTTACCAGCAGTGTACACCTTCACCCTCTGCTAGTTGACTTATGAGCCCTCCCCTCTAGGCTGACAGCTTGCAAGTTAGTATGACATCCAGTAGGAAGTCTATCTTTTCGGGATGCAGGGGCAATGAAACGAGATGGGATGTTATATAGAATATAGGTAGCTTATGTGCATGTTAGTGAAATACCTGGTTGTCGAGTCATTCAGCTAATGTATGATTCCTAGTTCGATCAAAAAAGCCTTAGAAAAAAGGACAGGGAGCTCTAGCCTATTTCAATTTCCGGATCTAGCTCAAAAAAAATTACAGCGCTGGGAGAAGAACTGCGGATGTGTACGGGCGTAGGTAGGCCAGTCAATAGACTCTCTTTCTCTCAGCAGAAGCACTGGACAACTTGACTCAATCACATACTAGGGACCCCTCTTTCTAAGTTTGGTAGTCTCTCATCTATAGAGCTGGGTAGAAGGAATGTACCGAACGAAGTTGCTAAAGGCTGGCATCCATCCTTCCATTTGATCAAAGGCATCAGAGCATAAGTAATTCACTCGAAAGGAGAAGAGCGTCAAGCAGCCCCAACTCTAGCTCCGTAGAGCAGGAGAATGCTCAGGTCCGTCTACGTGTGATTCCTCATTTTCTTCCTAAAACGTGAGGTGAGCTGCTGATTCTACTCTTGGAGTTACTCAATATAATGCTTCCTGAAAAGGATTTGAACCAAGAAAAGAAGAAAATACCATAGTAGATCTATGATTAGCCCTCGGTCGGGATGGTCCTGTCGAAGAACTTTATTCATGCAGAGAAAGACACTTAGGATAGGAGACTTATGGATGCAGGGTCTGCAAGTGAAACCCCAAAACCTAAAATCCCCTAATGCCTATCAAATAAGAGTCCTACCGGAGATCAGGTGTCAAAGGTGTCTAGGATTTATCCCAAAAGTAAGTAGGAGTGCTCTTCCATTCAAGCCTTCAGCCTTACAGTCTATAGACCTTACCTCACAAATCTTTTCTCTCGGGATTGAGTTGCTGTATCTGTAGTAGCATTCCCTCTAGTCACCTAGAAAGAGGAAAATTGCCAGTTTAGTTCCATCTCCTTGAGTTTCAATTGGAATGCTAGGGTAAGTCCCAAAGTCCTAAGTTCTTCCTTTCAATAAAAGTAGTAGGGCTAACGATATTTCTTTAGCTTAATGCTAGGCGTATAGATAGGTTTCTGGATCTCGAGATTAGTTTCATTTCTCTGGCTAGGAATAAGCAAAAAAACAAGGAAAGCGGATTCTCTTCTCGGGTAAGCGGTGCTCTCTTTCGCATAAGCCCTTTCTTAAGTAAGGTGATGGCGCTCTTTATCAGCTGCTTTCCTGGCATGTTACTTAAAGAAAACAAGTGAAGTAAGCTCCCCCCTTGATCCGATACAAGCGAGCTAAGGGGCATGATGTTCTCCCAATACCTGAGAGACACTTCACAGAGACTAAAGGTTAGGGGGATGGTAGTAAACCAACTGCAAGCACATGAACTCGCTATACCATTCTCTGCCCGCTACCCCTGCTCCTACTTCGAATGATAGAACGATTCGAAAGGGGCATACGTACGGCTTTGACTAAACGACTAACTAAGGTTTTTAGGAAGCAGACGTAATCGAAAGAAAGCTTGGGCCGAATGGAAGGGGCTTCCAACGATGGCAGGCTTACGGGATAAGGGCATACTCGTATGAAAAATATCCTAACTAAACGCTAAGCATTGAACCTAGCATTGAACCTTACTTCAAAGACTTTTATACGACCAACCGCCTACTTAATTACACTTCCGGCATGGCATTAAGCAAGTTCCTTCTTCTGCGAATATGAGATAGACCGACGGGACTAAGGGACTGTGGGAATAGCGAAAGCCCTGATTCAAAGATATTGGCCAGTCAAAAGGAAGAAGGTGAAAGACCACAAAAGTATTCCCCCTAAAGCTCTGCAAAGGCCTTTCGGAGATTGACCGTTTTTTCGAATTCGTATCCGTTGGCTAAGTACTTAGAAGCTTGGCCACCAGTAGCCTCGGACCTTCATCCTTCGACCCTCAAGACCTCTTATAGCGCTCTTGCCTTCCAGCTAGCCAAGCCTTTGGAAAGAAGTAAATTTCGGAGTCTGTAAAAGAAAAGAAAGACTAGCGGCGCTTATTCCTATTCCATGAGATAGCAGTGGTTACGAATTCAATTTTGAAATAAAAGGGAGTTTTTCAACTATACGAAAGTGATGTTCCTTGCGAGAGGTAAGTTCTTAGGAATCGATTGAATCACAGGAAAGATCAGGAATAGCCCTTTAGGTTGCAACTCCTTCTAAGACTACTAGTATTGGCAAGAGGGATGAACCTGATTGACCTATTATTTCCCCCGGGGCGGATTCTAAACCCGCTTCGACGTCTTCCCACAGATCTGCCTTATCGAGCCGGTGCCATTCAGGCAATGAAATAGGTTTTTTGTACGAGGAATAAGAGGCATATGCAAGAGCAGGTTGCACGAAAGGAACTGACATCTCATCGGAATAGGAAGCGAATCCGCTCTTCTATGTGCTAGATGTCGGCATTTCCCCTCTTAGCATACAGCATTCACTTCACTGACGCCTACTGACCGGATCGGGCACGAAGGAGGAAGGAACAATGGGAGAGAGGCGAAGCATTTGAAATGAGTTCATTCTCATATAGCAGGAAAGTCTTACCATTTCGAAAAGAGCTCAGTAAATGGTCGAGCTAGCTCCTTCTGCATGGCCTAAAAGCTAATAAAGTGAAAGGGTCGTGAAGCAGCTTACTTTCCTTTCATTCCAATATGGCATACTACTGAATCAGAATCAGGATCTTCCAGGGAAGCAGTAGCTTAGCTGATGAAAGATCTCGTTTTATGAGCAAAAAGAGTAGCTTAGCTTATAGTAATTAATAGCTCGAGGCTTTATTTCTTCTATTATAGAATAGAAATCTATAAATGGAGGAGTAGGCTGACAAGCGGTCCTATTTCAGCAGCTTTGCTCAATGCATTATCCAGATCTCGAATCATTGGAATTAGCTTGCTTTCCCTTCTATTATATAAGAAGTCTTCCCCGGTCGGGAATCAATCATACTACGATCGTCAAATCCTACGCTGTCAATAGAACTGTCGGCATATAACCTAGAATCAATAGGAGCTAATAAGATCTTCCCCAGGGTAATTTCACTAAGACTGCCCTACTCCCTTGACTAATATGGTTCAGGTGGAATAGTCGGACATAGAATACAGGGAATGCGCATACAGTGAATAAGACCCCTCCTTTAAGTAGGAATTAGACCAAGGCTAGACTGGATGCTGCTACTACATGTACAGCAGCTAAGATTGATTCTCTTACCTGCATCCTTACACCTAGAAAGGTACTTTGTTACTAGCCTGAAAGTCTCAACATCTCCCTAAAAAAGGATTAATAAGGAATGCTAAAAAGAAAGAATCTAAGGCTGAAACTGAAACAACACTATAGCTCCTTAGATTTTGCTCGTTACGCTCCTTAGTAAGTGAATTGGTAGAACTTCAATACACTTGACCTTACTGGCTTTCCTAGTCCGACATCGACTACATCGAAAGAGATAGAAGACTTAGCCGATTAGACCAGATAGAGAATAGGAATTGACAGAAGATAGACACAGGCTATAGAGAAGGAATGCTAAAAAGAGAGATAGGAAAAGCTATGTGTACCAAACAGGGAAATCTATACGGTGATACCTCAAGCCCATGATATAACATTTTCTTGTAAGAAAGCCGTTGATAACGAATTGGTAACCCCTGGTCGGAGCGGGTAGGAGCCGAATAGATGGGAATGAAGTTCCTTTACAGCTCCGGAAAGGAGGCTTGTGCCACTAAGGGGTTGCCGCTTATTCAAGTGACGGGGCAAATGCCCTATTAATTGAATCTAAGTCAAGCTTATCCTCTAATGCCTGGGAAGCTATTCCATCTGTAGTATCGCTGGAGGAAAGCTAATAAGTACAGTTGCAGTCCGCTTTAAGCGGTTGGTTAGCTATTATACAATTTGAAAAAGCTTATTAAAGAAGTAACCTTAATAGTTTTACTATACAGGGAGCTGAGACTTTTAGATGGTGCATAAGCACTGGGGAATGCTTAATGGCATTCAAACTTGCAGGAAAAACACCAGCTCTTATCAATATTCCTTCCTAGGGAAACAGCCCAAGAGCATACTTTTAAACTGGCTTGTTATAACCTGCTTTCCTAAGAGGTACTTCGCTAGCTC